CCCATGCTGCAGAGAGGGCGGGCATGCGTGGGGGGATCAGAGCTCTGCTAGCGTGCGGGGGGCTAAGGGTCAGAGCACTGAGCTGGGACCCAGGAGATGGGGGCACATGCCTAGCAGGGCCCATCCGGTGCCCTCTGCTCATGTCCCTTTTCTCCCCGTTTGTCTCCTCACTCAGGAGCAAGCGGTATCCCAAGGGCCTCTCCTCCTGCAGCCAGCTTCTTGCCCCTAAGCTCTGGGCTTTACCTCCCTTCATAATTGTCTCACACTAGAGCCCCACACAGAGCTCTCCATGGTGCTGCTGCTCCCTTAGCCAGCCACGCGGCTCTCACCTCCTCAGGCCTCCAGAGACACTGAGCTGACTCCGGTCCTGCAGCTCCTTTTCTAGGGCCTTTCTGGTCCCTGATTGGCCAGTTCCTCCACAGCCACTCTGGCCTCCTGGAGGAGTTGTCTATGGCCTTTTTCTGGGGTGGAGTGTAGCAGGACCACAGGGCCTCTGGCAGGGAGCTTCAAGGGCTGGTCCACCCCATCATGCAGACCTCTACAAATCAGAGGGAATGTTGCCGGTAGTTTCAATGGGAGCAGCAGCAGGCACGGAGTTGTTTCTGAGTTAGCAACCAACACAATTTACTGGACAACAACATTTCAGCCCCCAGCGCCCTTAGCTCAGGCATGCCCTGTCCTATAGTCCATTGTTCAGAATCTGGGCAGGGGAGAGCAGGGCGCTGGAGCTAAGGATTTTAACAGGCTAGGGCCTCACGCTGCCGAATCCTTTTTACTGAGTCACTCTCCATAGACAATGATATTTCCATGGGAGGAGATTAGCATACGAGACTGAGGCTCCTCTTGCCTCCAGTTGCCTAACTCGGGACCGTGACGTCAATGGTGCACACCAAAGGAAAAAATCACGCCCATAACGTTACACGTATTATAAGATGGGTTCCGATCTCATTGAATGGTGCCCTAGCAATTACAAATAATTAAGACTGTAGATGATTAACTAATGACATCTCATTAATACAGAACGGCTTGCTATTATAACTAATGGCTCTGGGATTACCTAGGTTTGTATTTACCTTTAACCTGTAAGTGACGTAATTAGCAAGCAGTGTGGTCTAGTGGGTAGATCTAGGGTCTATTTTCTGGCTGCATCATTGACCCTTCCAGCTCTTATCTATTTATACAGGCAGATGCAAGGTGGACACGCTCTCACTAGGTTTGTACAGCGTGTCTTATACCGGGGGCCGGAGCTCACCCTACCATCATCTCCTTTCTTTGGGGCAGATATAAAACTAGCCAAGACCATCTACAGGGTGGGAGGTGCCCATGGAGAACACTGTGATCAGCTCCTACATTGGACTCCAGCTGCCCATGCCTGCCCGGCATGGGAGAGGCGAGGGGAAGCTGGCAGCATAGCTGTGTGGATGCATTTTTACATCTCAGCTTAGGCAAACCTTCCTGCAGGTGAGATGCAAACCTCTGGGGAGGAGTCGGTGGAGCCAGCCTGATGTGTGGGCATCTCTGCGCCGAGGACCAGTCTGTACATCTCACCTGGGAAACAGTGGCAGTGCCCTGCCCACCGGGACCAGCGATGTACACAACCGCAGAGTAGAGATTTCAGCCGCAGGATTCCCAGCTGGGCTCACTGGGCAGTCAGCTGTGGCCACGCCCCCCTTTTAGCCTGGCCCCATTACCCGCACACCCGGGACAAGTATCAGAGGGGTAGCTGTGTTCGTCTGTCCATTTACGCCTGCCTCTAATTTCCACCCCATTCATCCTTCCGCATGAAAGTATATGCAAATCTGTTAGTCTTTAAAGGTACCACTGAGATTGTTTTACCCACAGACAGGTTGCACCATTGGCCAGTGCTGGTTAGATATTCTCATGTGCACTCCCTGCCACCCATCAGCCCTTTGAGACCGGGCTGATGATCAAAGTGTGGTAGATGCTTCCTGCAAATCGTCATCTTCTGCGTGTCAATTACACGTGGTATTATGGCAGCTGGACAGTCCCCCAGAGAAAATACTATTCAAAGGTGCTCTCCCACCCACGCTAGGGTGGCTACCTAGTGGAAGCCAATGGTTCCTTCTGGGAGGAACTGGCCTTTTTACCAGTGGACTTGCAGATTCAAATTGGGCTCACGGGTGAAATGAGTTTGGATGCCTCAGCAGCAGGGTACGGATAGATTCTAAGACTGAAAGGCCAGGAGGTCGCATGACAATCCACCTTCTGCATCATTCAGGCCCCTGAATGTCACCCAGTGGTCCCCACGTCAGGCCTTTTTCATGTGGTGGAACTAGCACATGTTCTTTGGGAGGACAACCACCCAGTCCCACGCTAAAGACACAAGGTACTGAAAGTATCTGAAAGGGTGGTACAAAGAGGCGGCAGAAAAATGGTTCTCCTTGACCTCCGAGGATAGGACAAGAAGCAATGGGCTTAAACTGCAGCAAGGGAGGTTTAGGTTGGACATTAGGAAAAACTTCCTGTCAGGATGGTGAAACACTGGAATGAGTTGCCTAGGGAGGTTGTGGAATCTCCATCTCTGGAGATATTTAAGAGCAGGTTAGATAGACATCTATCAGGGATGGCAGACAGTGCTTGGTCCTACTATGAGGGCAGGAGACTGGACTTGATGACCTCTCGAGGTGCCTTCCAGTCCTAGTATTCTATGATTAACAACAGTATAACATAGGGTCTGTCTACACTAGCGCCCTAGTTCGAACTAGAGAGGCTAATGTAGGCATTTGAAGTTGCAAATGAAGCCCTGGATTTAAATATCCCAGGCTTTATTTACATCTTCCCATCTGGGCACCATTTTTAAATCCCCTTAGTCCAAATTAACTGCCCGTGGCTACACGCGGCAGTCAAACGTTAACTCGAACTAAGTCCTTAGTTTGAGTTAACTGTTACACCTCGTGGAATGAGGTTAATTTGAACTAAGGACTTAGTTTGAGTTAATGTTTGACTGCCGTGTGTAGCTGCGGGCAGTTAATTCGGACTAAGGGGATTTAAAAATGGCGCCCGGACGGGAAGATGCAAGTAAAGCCCGGGATATTTAAATCCAGGGCTTCATTTGCAACTTCGAATGCCTACAGTAGCCTCCCTAGTTCGAACTAGGGGGCTAGTGTAGACAAACCCATAAAGAGTAAACACCTAACTATAGAGAGAGTATTTAATTGCAGTGACCTTGCATAACAAGCATGGGGGAGGGAGAGGGAGCAGACATCTCTTCAATCTTTGGTCATAATGAACGGAGCTCCAGACAAAGCCAGAGAGAGGGAGGTGGGGGACATAGTACTATTGCCTTTACAAGATCAGTCCCTGGTTTCTCCGGGCCAGAGACAGATTGCCAGGTGCCTAGGGAGGTTGTGGAATCTCCATCACGGGAGACATTTAAGAGCAGGTTAGACAGACGTCTATCAGGGATGATCTAGATAGTGCTTGGTCCTGCCGTGAAGGCGGGGGACTGGACTTGATGACCTCTGGAGACCCCTTCCAGGTGTATGATGTTAAGGTGACGGTGCATCCTGTGGGCAGCTTTTCAATCGGTGATGGTCACGGTGCCTCGCTCGCAGGCTGAACGGGTTGCATTCCCATGTCTTTGGAACAGCGATTGTGCGCACATCCTCCATCTGCTCTCTCGCCCCCCCCAGCGGGGTTCGTTTCCCTTCCAGCCGCTCCTCGCCTGCCAGCGCAGAGCTATTGATCACACGCAGGGCACGTCGGAGGGATTTCGAACCGTTAGATACAGTCTGTGGCTGCCAGCTACAAGAGCCCGGGGATAAACCTCTAATCAAGTCAGCTCTCCGTGGGCGTACTTAGCCAGGTGACGGAGCAATATCCCTCGCCCGGTTCCCTCCAGATGAGATGTTTCCAGCACACCTGTGGGACGAGTGTCACGCGTACAAGGATTCGTATTGTGCTGCATGCCAGCGGAGGCGCAGCACGCCACCGCAGAGCCAGCCAGCACACCTGCAGGGCAGGGCATAGTGGGAGCGGGGCTTTCCTGGCTGCATGTAAGAAGGGAAGGCACCTGAGAAGATGAGCTGTAGTAGCTGAAGGAGAGGAAGGCTGGCCTAGTGGTTAGGGCCCTATGGGCTGCAGTGCAAGGGATTTGGGGCCCATTCCCTGCTGCCTCGCTTCCCTGTCCGTACAGCGTGTCATGGGGTAGCACCCTCCTCTCACAAGCACCCCTGGGTGGATGCATGTCCACACCCCTTGCTGTCTGGGGTGACCTTTTTGGCCAAGTACACACGCTCAGTACGGGACACACATCAAACAGCCCCCTGCCAACAAAGCTTGCAGGTGCACCTGGCCCCTGCCCCCAGGGCCTTCTCCCTGGAGACTTCTCCCATGCTGGTCTGGTCTGTCCTCACCTGGGACCCTCAACAGAGCCCTGTCTGGGGGTTCACTGCTGTCCCGTTGTAGGCCACTTGCCCAGTGGTTAATGGGGAGGGACCCAAAGCCACCCCCTGCTCCAGGCCCCCGCGAATAGCAGCTGAGTCCCTACAACAGAACTGCTTTCAGTTCCCTGAGCCACTTCTCCAGGGCTCCGGCCTTCACCCCTACCTCAGGGCTTGTCTTCGTCCAGGCCCAGCAGCTCTCGTCCAGTTCCTGCCCGCACTGAGCTGTCCACGGGGCTGCCGTTCCCTTAGGCCAGCCAGGAACACGAGCTGTACTCCTCCGGCTCCAAGCAGCAACTCATGCATGGCTCCACTGCAGCTCCTTTTATACTAGCCTGCACCCCTCTGATTGGCTAGACCCTGGCTGCCTCCCCTGATTGGCCCCATCCCACACACAGCCTGTCTGTGCAGCCTGGAGGACTCCTCTACTACTCTTTTCCTGGGTTTACGACCGCCCCCCACCCTGCCCTGCCTCTCACCCGCTCACTGGAGTTCATGGCTGCTTTTCCTTGTCCTCTTTCTCCAGGGAGTTTGCCCGCTGGAAGGTGAATAACTTGGCCTTGGAAAGGAAAGATTTCTTCAGCCTGCCGCTGCCCTTGGCCCCCGAATTTATCCGGAACATCCGCCTCCTGGGACGACGGCCCAGCCTGCAACAGATTACAGAGAACCTGATTAAGAAATACGGGACGCATTTCCTGCTCTCCGCCACTCTGGGAGGTCAGTGCCCCCTTGGGGAACCTCAGCTGGGGCAAATCTGCCTGGAGGTCAGTGGTGCTGACTCCGTTTCCCCCAGCTGAGTATCCGAGCCAGGCAGGACGGCCTTTACCCGGCCTGCCTTACCTGTGTAGCAGCGCGGAGTGCGAGGAGGGTGTGTCCAGGTCTGGGGAGGCTGCTGGCTCATGGCAGCAGGCGGGAGAACCAGCCAAGACCTTCCGGCGTGGCTAGTGATTTTGGGGGCAAGACTCCTGAAAAGAGCCCCCGGTTTGGGAAGGCAGAGGTGCTGCACTCTCTGGCATCTCTGGATCCCCCAAGCGGCTAGCTGCTTTGGAAAATCCTGGCCGCTCTTGCTTTGCGGGGCAGGTAGAAAGCAGCAACTGGGGTTTGCACAGAGCCTCAGAGAGGGGGTGGGTTTAAAAGCACCGCAGGGGTGTTTTTGATGCCTGGGAGTAGCTCAGCGCGACGGGTACGAGCAGCCGCAGAAAAAGCCCTAAAGACGGGGGCTCCAATCCGCATGGGGGTTCTTTACTGAGCAGCCAAAGGCCGGGAGCAGACAGATGCTTCCACGTAGCCTAGGCTAACACCTACCGCTGATCTCCGCACGGCCAGGCCTAGCACGCTGCTCTCTGAGTGGAGCAGGAGCCTCTCCGAGGCCTCAGCTGCAGGCATCTTTCCAAGCGTCCCTGGGTCCCTTTGAGGAACGCCCCTGATTCACCGCAAGCCTCAAGCGCTGGGTTGCCAGGGCCTGGAGCGAGACTCGGGGCTCTGACAGCAGCGCGAGAGGCGGGCTGGGCCCTGCCACCGTGCCGTCAGAGCCCCGGTCCTGGGCGTTGTAGGGTGATTGAACCTCCCAGCTGGGCACTGGTGAGCAGGCCGGGGGTGGCAGTGTCGCGGAGCTGGCTCAAGATGGCCACCGAGGACCAGGGGGTTGTGGTCCTGCCTGGTCCAGCGAGGACTAGTTGGGATCCAGCCAGGACTCCGCCTCCAGGGAGTGAGTGGAGCAGCTGGAACCCAGAGGGGCTGTGGGCCGATGGCCGCTAGGGTCCGGCGTCCCCGGCGCACCCTGACCAGCTCGCGTGCCCGTGCAGGAGAAGAGTCCCTGACCATTTTCGTGGACAAGCGCAAGCTGAGCCGGAAAGCGGACGTGGGCGGGAACAGCTCCAACGTCTCCCTGGAGACCCTGCACCAGCTGGCCGCCTCGTACTTCATTGACCGGGAGAGCACGCTGCGCAGGCTGCTAGGGTCCGGCGTCCCCGGCGCACCCTGACCAGCTCGCGTGCCCGTGCAGGAGAAGAGTCCCTGACCATTTTCGTGGACAAGCGCAAGCTGAGCCGGAAAGCGGACGTGGGCGGGAACAGCTCCAACGTCTCCCTGGAGACCCTGCACCAGCTGGCCGCCTCGTACTTCATTGACCGGGAGAGCACGCTGCGCAGGCTGCACCACATCCAGATCGCCACCGCCGCCATCAAGGTAACACCGCGCCGCGCGCCCCGGCAGCAGCCCCTCCGAGTGGGGAGCAAAGAGGGGGATGCCCTGCCTATCCGGGAGGGGTTGAGGGCTTAGCACCTTGCCGTGAGCGCTCCAAAGCAAAGGTAAACGAGATTCATCCTCCTTACACTGCGAAGAACAGCAGCAGCTAGACACTGCACAAGCACGTAGGAAGGAACCATCCCTGCCCCAAAGATCTTACAATCAAAATAGACAAGGCAGACACAGGGCGGGAGGGGAAACTGAGGCACAGAGAAAGCAGTGACATGCCCAGGGTCACCCAGCTGGTCAGTGGCAGAGCGGGGAATCGCTCCCCTGTCTCCCGACTCCTGCTGCGCTGCCCTAGGCACCGGTCCCACGGTGGCCGCTTCTCACAGGCCCCTCATGAGAGAGAGCACAGTCTGTCTCACGCGCCGGGGAGACTCCTCTAGGCCCCCAACTCCCATGGTGAGACCGCGCTCATCGCCCCCACGGGAACGTGCAGCAAAGTGCTGGGATTTTCCCTGTCCCCTCTCTGGGGACAGCGCTGCCAGGTCGGCCCCCAGCGCGCCTTCCTGCCCTGGCCCCCAGCCACGAGCAACCAGTCTCCTGGCTTCCCTACCCCGAGGACAGTCCAACGGCTCAGCCCCTTCTCGCCTCCCTCCCGCTCAGGCAGGGCACTGAGCTAGCCCCCTTGGCCCCCCAGCATTTCCTGCCTGGGCCCGGGGCCGGCCCCCAACATTGGCTCCTTCCTGCAGCTTCCCTGTCTTGGTCCCGGGCAGCTCTGCCCTGCTACAGCCCGACTCTTTAGAAGGCTCCAGCTGCCTTCGGTCGTCTTCCGTGGGGAAACTGCGACTCAGGCCCAGGTACACGGGGTCCGACTTCAGCGGCTCCGTCGTGGGCAGGGAAGCCAGGCCAGTCTCCTGGGAGGCTGTAAACCCTTCCTGAGCCCCGATCATCGTGCCACGGGCGGGGGGAGCTCGCAGGGGCTGAGACCTGGCTGCCCCGTGTCAGGCATGCGCTGTCCTGGCCCGTCCCTCTGGCAGCGTCATGGCAGCTCCCAGCCCACAGACCGGGCAAAGCTCTCCTGGGTTCCCTGGGGCTCCAGCCAGGAGTGGGTCCCTGAACCGGGGAGGCCAGCGCTGCCCTGCCCCACAGAACCTGACCCACGTGCATTTCCTCTCCCGCCGTAGCCCCAAGACTCAGGAGCTGTGGATCCTAGTCCGGGCTGTGCCACTGAGTCCCATGGGCCTCTGCTCCGAAGGCCACCTGTAAACCAGAGTGGTGCTTTGAGATCTCTGGGCAGACAGAGCCTCGCCGTGCGACCCGGTCCTGCCACCCCTCTGCTCTGCACGGGCCCCACGAGATCGCGGAGCTAGGCGGAGGGGAACGGGGCTCTCCCCAGCTCTGACCCCCGCCCCCGGGCACTTGGCATGCAGTTTGTGAAAGCCCCGGCCCCCCCCGCAGCCTGGCAATTAGAGCCCCATCGCTCCCGCCTCCCGCAGGGAGGGGAGAGGTTAACGCCTTCCTGTTCGTTAGGGGAAATTGGCTGTGCTAACGAAGCCGAGCCCCGTCAGGCTGGAGGCAGAGCTGCTCTGTCAACAGGCCAATTAGCGCGCAATTATTTCCCCTTTCTCCCGGCGCCTCGTTGGCAGGAAGGACGGCTCTGCGGCCTGCAAGGCACATTTGCTTTCCAAGGTCACCCGGCCGCCTCAGGATCTGGGGCTTCACCAGGGGACCTCACCGCCCGTCTGACCCCTTCCCATCTTCCTCCTGGTCATACTCACCCTCCCCTGCTCACCATTTCTACCCCCCCTTGCAGCCCTGGCTGGCCTCGGAACTTGGACTGTCAGTGCCGTGTTGGCCAGTGGCCTATGGGCCTCCCCCAGCAGACTCCCCCGCTGCCGTTGCTCTGGGACGTAACAGGTCTTTCCCGTCCCTCGCTACCCCTCTGCTGCACCAGGCTTCTGGGCTGGGAACTGGGTGGCATCCAAGCTCTCCCTGGTGACGCAGCAGGGCAAAACCTGCTCCCCTCGTACATGCAATGATCTCATCAAGGGGTCCAGGGGACCCAGGACTTGACACAGCTGGGGATCCCAGGCACTGCGCCCCGCACTGGTGTAGGAAGAAGAGTTCGGTGGGGGGGTCGGTGCGGGCAGAGCGCTGCACGTGGTCAGCCGCAGACTCAAACCCTAAGCACCGAGGTGTGCGGCAAACGCCGGGTCCTGCCTCAGTCGCTCTCTGACCACCCCCTGTTCCCACAGGTCACCGAAACCCGGACGGGCCCTCTCGGCTGCAGCAACTATGATAACTTGGATTCGGTCAGCTCGGTTCTCGTCCAGAGCCCCGAGAACAAAGTACAGCTGCTAGGTGAGGGCTGCAGCCTTTCTCCGTTCATCCAAGCGCCCGGGAGAAAGAGAGGCAGGTGGGGGAGAGCTGGGACACTGAGGCCAGGAGAGGGGTGGGCCCCAACGGGACGAAGGGGGAGAGTGTATAGAAGTTAGCTCAAAGGGCCCCACTGACCCGAGGTGGAAAGTAACTAAGGAGAAATCCTACCCTCCCCAAGTCCATTTTTACAGTATTTATACTTGACGCAAGTAATTTATTTTTGTGTCACGTCGACTTTTACTCAGGCCTAGCCGCATGTGCACAGCATCCAATCGACATGCAGTGCCAGTGTTTTGTTAAAAAAAAATAACCAAGCAACAAGCAGCTTGACGCTGCCGAAGAAGAAAGTAACTAAGGAGAAATCCTACCCTCCCCAAGTCCATTTTTACAGTATTTATACTTGACGCAAGTAATTTATTTTTGTGTCACGTCGACTTTTACTCAGGCCTAGCCGCATGTGCACAGCATCCAATCGACATGCAGTGCCAGTGTTTTGTTAAAAAAAAATAACCAAGCAACAAGCAGCTTGACGCTGCCGAAGAAGATCTATAACAGCCACGGCCACACCTTTTCCTTCCGAACCAGTATCTGTGCATGGGC